GTAATCCTCAGTCTAATATAAATACCCTCACGCAACCTGTGTATACATCTACCTTATCTGCTCCTATAAACATAGTAGGGGAGAGTGGGGTAAGTTGAGCCACCACTGTTGCTTGGAAATGGTAAAAGAAATTTATCATGTGACCAAATATTTAGGAGATGGGCATCAGTTCATGGAGTTTGTGAAGGTTCCCAATGAGCATTTTTTTGGTCTAAAAGAGGTCTAAGGTCACTTTCACACCTGACCAAGCGTACTCGGTTTGACTGAGGAGCTGAAAGTCACAACATTGTTGCATTTATCACTTGTTTCAGTTCTGCTTCACACTGTGATTTCTACAGCGCACCGAAGTTTCCGAGCAGCATCACGTGGTTGAAAGGGGTGCTCTAGCCGTCCCACAGGGGTGGACTAGCCGTCTAAGGCATGAGGCAAGCGACCTAAGGCTATGTTCACACTGCAGGTCAATTCCGATTCTTTTAACCATTTGTGACATATATCAGATTTTTTCATGTAAAGGTCCTTTCACACCAGGACCGTTTTTGTCATGCAATTATTTTGGACGTCAATATTTTTTTTCGAACCCGTTTCCTGTCAATACAAGCGTTGACATCAGCAACATTTTCCCATTCTGCGATATTGCAGCATTTATTTTTTCAGATCATGGTTGATTTTTCTAAAGTTTCGCATACTGTGGGTCCACTTCTGACCAATTAGATTGCGTGTTGTTGCGACGTCAGATTCACCGGTATATCCAACATGGCCGACCGGCTGATTTTACATGACTGACTGTGCTTTCCTGAAGGACAACATAGCGTCAGATCTCTCCTATGACGATGGTTTGTGTGCTTTAATAGTTTGCTAAACGTCTCTGTTTTAACTTTCATCTGTGCTAACGTAAGCTAACGGTTGTGACCATAGTTTCATGTGCTTATCTTATCACCTCTGATTAGCTTTAAGAGCTGATTATTTGGCTTGAGCGTGTGATGACATTTCAAGCTTCTCTAGCCAATCAGAGGCGAAGGGGGCGGGACTTTCCCCGGGAAAAGTCTTCCCCGGGACACGTCTTTCCCCCCCCCGAAAGTCGCAAAATCGCACCATGCTTTATATGCATAGTCAGGCGCGTCAAAATACGCCTCCAAATATTTCCTAATTTCGTGTTCTGTATTAGCATCAGCCCTGGTGTGTAAGGACCTTAAGGCTATGTTCACACTGCAGGTCAATTCAGATTTTTTAACCATATGTGACACATATCTGATTTTTTCATGTCAGTGTGAACAGTGCAATTCTGATTTTTTCAAATCTGACCCAGGCCTCTTTTGTATGTGGATATAAATCGGATATGTATCCAATGTGACTGCAGTGTGGACGCTCAGGTGCGTTCATCCGACCTATACATCATCAATATGCGACATAATATCAATTAGATGACTAAAATCTGAGTCGGTATGAAGTTGATCTGAAGCTAACACTACACTGACATCCTCCAGTTCAACTTCATATTGACTCAGGCCTATATATATGGCCTAACCACACGACACATTGAAAAGCACACAAAGTGAAATTAAACAAAAACCTTTCCACTTACTTCTTTGCTCATCTTCTCACCATCGTCTTCTGTGCCTAGATCGTAAAACACCGGTGCATCATCATTATTGGTCCCCGGCAGCTCACTTCTGCTGTGACTTTTTTTCATTTTCATCCTTTCATTTTCGCAGTAAGTACCTTTTTTTAAAATTTTGCATCAGTAACTTCCGTTGTGGCTTCTTCTTTTTGCATTCTTTGTTTGCAGCAGTGGCGGTTCTCAGCCACTGTAATCCCTAGTCTAATAAAAACTCCCTCACACGACCCGTGCATACATCTACCTTATCTGCTCCCGTAAACATAGACGTTTCTTTATTCAGGTGCATTTTTTTTTCTCCTCTCTGCAAACGCAAAGAAGCGTGAAATGCACAGCAGCCTATCTAGTAGTGTCTCTGTACAAATATAGCGATGTTGTGTTCAAGTCAGTAGTAGTTTATTTTTATTCACTGTGTCATGTACCAAAAGAAGCCCATATGGACTTACAAGACTCTGCAGAACAACACAGATAGGAGCAACAAGAAAGTAATGTAACCATAACATTTGTAAATTAAATATCGCTGTTTAGAGGCGCACAACACAAACGGAGAGAGTTGAGCTACTTCACGTGTGAACTGGTCTCCATTAGGAATACATTTCTCACAAAGTTTGTCCCTGTGCAACCTCAGTATTTCATGTATTATATACCCACATGTGTTTCCACAACCAGTACCGACCACTGTAAATATCTCAAACATGCCCAGTAATGTTTCCTTATAAACCACTGAGTAAAATTCCCTATATGTGATCTGGTAATGTTAAAAATAAACTGTCACTGGCACATTTTATTGTCTGCAATCTATATATTCTGTATTACCCACCATATTTGTTATTTCTCATAGCTAAGTAGACTTTACTATTTCTTTGTACTTTCCCCAACACACCCTGTGCATGTTTCTGCACATATAGATCATGTAAATGCTTATATGTGGATTTGCACAAACTGTACTTGACAACAATAATAATGGTGAAGTATAAAATCATGTCATCTTTTACAGGGAGGTCAGACAGGTATTTGAGCAATCACTTCACTTTTAACCTACTGTTATTTTTAAGTCTGATAAGCGCTCATTCTGGTAACTTGTCTACATGTCTTATCGTATCATCTTACACAAACACGAGATGACTAACACTTGTGCTGCATATATATAATCTCATCATGTAGAAAGAATGCAAACACTGTTTTTCTTGACAAATATGAGGGCTGCACGTTGCCGCAGCTCCGTCATTGTTCGTGATCTCAGTGCAACGCGATGCAAATATTTCACAATTGGAAAACAGATCAGACAGATAGAGTTAACAAATACAATGTGCAGCCTATTTATTCAAGTTTACCATTCCCAGAATCTCTCTATCCGTGGTTTGGCACACATTTTATCCACAAATTGCATTGTCCCTCTCACACTACAGCTATAAAGACAAACCCCTCTGTTTTCTCTCCCCCTCCCATCCTGCTCTGGTCTGAGGTTTCAAAAGGGAGGTCAGCCCGAGCGTTGACCCTGCAGGAAGTCTACATCTGTGCTTCTTGATGCCCGTGGAGAAGTACAAGCTGTGAATACAGTGACTTAACATTGAAGGATAGTATTTGGGAGATCACAACACACCATGCTGTGTACATAGTTGATGACTCTGCTGAAGCCATTGGCCTCTTAATGGTCTGAAACCGCTCTGTCTGCCTCACAGCCACCCGCGCTCCAGCTCTCTCAGACATTAAAGTCCGTCAGCAGGGATCATTAAAGACAGAAACTGGCTTCTTTATAATCCAGGTTTGGACAGACTCGTGTTATTAGTTTGATTATATTTTATGTGGTACAATTAGGATTTTCTATTATGTCACTCGACTTGGACGAGACAACGGCTTCCTGGCTTTGCCATCCAGCTATCTGGCACACTTCAGGCAGGCTATATCCTGACCTAAATTTCAGCGGCAGCCTTCCCTATGATGTCAGACGGGATTGTTTTTCTTCCCCGTGTTTTTCTTTCTGCTCTGTGGTTTGGGAGACCCCCTCTAACCATCAGTATAACCACCATCTCTTCATCCAGCCGTCACAGAGGGAAAGGAAAGAGGAAAAAGAGCTGTTTATTTCAGCTGGGCTTTCTAGACCGGGGCGCACGTCGAAATAATCTATCCCCTATCTCTGCAATGCCCAATTTGTCAGCTCACTGATAGCGCACAAATGTTTCTCACTTGCCAGTTTTGATGTCAACAGCTGTGTTTCATCTGCAGCCAGATCCCCTGTAGAGTTTAAGGGAGCAGCAGACAAAGCCCAAATGGCCACATGAACACGAGCAGAAAATGAAAAGTTAATAGCTGGACAAGGAGCACTCTTTAAGATCCTACTCCAGGCAGTTACACCTGAGCTACCTCCTGTATAAGTTATTAAAAAGAGCTGGAGAGGATTGTTTCAATAGACACAGAGCCCACATGAAAGGCTCCTCAGAGACCGAGTGCATCAGTGAAGCAGACTTCAGAGATTTTTTAAAGGCTGTTGGCTGATAGATGCACTGCAGACTGTCATTACGGCTCTGAAATAAAAGATGAACAACACGAAATCCTTGAGAACAGAGGAGAGGCTGGAGGGAGAGTCCTCGTCAAAACAGCTCTCCTGCCATCGGGAGTCAACCAGATTAATGGAGCTCTCCTTTGTGACTGATCGGCTTTGATTACAAATTCAAATAACGCTTTTTTTTTCTTTTCTGGAGACTTTTTCCAAAACTGTGCCTGATTAAAAACACATTATTACACCCTGCCATCCTCACTTTGCCATGTCCTGCAGGGTTCTCCTCTGGGCATTTTCAGTTAAACTCAGTCTAATTGAATTCAGACCCAATTTAATCATAGACAGAAAATATCTCCAATTGAAACCATGTGCTTCATTTATAATGACATTTTTCTGTGAAGCTGATTGATACGATATTGCACAAGTTGCTATTTATAACACTGGTGTAATTACATGCCAGGTTCCTCCTTTGGCTATGATGTACATTTTTAGCAGAGACATTATTCATTCTGCAGTGGCAGGCATTTATTATTGCCACGGCTGTGTTCAAACAGGCGAGAAAATGATCCTTTTCAGAAGAAATCAGGCTCAGAATGAGAGAAAGCAAGCTGTTTTGATTTTTAATCCTCTTAATCGGGACACTATCTTCTCCCTATCATCACAAATCAGTCTGGGTTTAAGATGCAAATTTAGAGCTGAAATTTATTCCACCTAACCGCCTCGTCCTCGCAGCTACAAAGACGGCACTGAGAGTGAAAATGGCAGCATCTGAGTGAAGACTCCAACGACTGCCTGCATTGTTGGAATTCCGGCTTAACTTCCTGAGTCTGTCCACACCTGGCCAACCGCCAGCACACGCTTTTCTCTCATTTTTCCCTTCCCTCAGTTTATCAAGATCATATGCAGACTCCGTTTTACTGTAGAGACAACATACGAGCCGTTCCAACCTGAGCCAACGCTGGGACGGAGACGGATTATGTTTCCTGTTTTTGATTACATCATTTATTTAAAGTCTGAACAGCCTCTACAAATCATGGGACAACCTGTAGAAAAGGTGAGTTCCTTTAAATATTTAGGTGCTTATATTAACATCCACCTCAAATTCATGAATAATACAGATTGTGTTTTTTTTAAACAACCGTGCAGAGGCTGTACCGACTCAGGAAGCTGATCGAAAGTTTCTTGAAACAGTGAACAAGAATCTGATAAAAAGTATTATGTCTCTGTAGCACGGCACAGACACCAGTGTAGAGGCAGAAGAACAGTTCATGGTTTTCTTACCTGCTCTTACAAGATTAGTTACAACAAGTGTGTTAGCCTGCCACATGTAAATTGTAAATGTGTGGAATAATACCTTTGGATATGAGAAATAAAACTGAAGATTTTTAAAAAAAAATTTCAACATGAAAAGTGTTTCCAGAGCGGATTTTTGTTGAACTGAGTAGCTGGGCTAGCTACAGACACTGCCTGCGGAAGTAACTAACTGCTATCTGAGTAAGCCACTGCAAGTTCTCGAGCATTAATTCAAACCTCTACAACCAGGATCATGTCAAATGTAAAGGGAGATAGAAAAGAGAGGTCGAAACAGCCAGTAAAACCACGGGTAAATGTCACTCGATGACGGGCTGCACTGAAGTATGAAAATCATAAAAGAAAACATCATTTTTCCCAAACATTAAATCTTTTCAAATAAATCATGACCCCTCCTGGGACTGGGTTCATTTTGGATTGTTGTGTCAATGATGTAGGGCTGGGCAATAAACCGAAAATTTACCAATACCGAAAAACAACCGGCTTCAATTTGCCCATATCGGTATGTTCAGTGCTTTGAAACACTTCAATTACCTTATTCACATGGTTCCTGGTGGTACTAGCTCTGCTAATGTTAGTCACAGGCTGAGAACCAATCTGGCGTTGTTTGTGCACAAGACTGTAGAAATTTAAGTTGTTATATTGTGCAAAAAAGTAGGAGAATAAAGTTGAATTAAAGTCATAGTTGTGGTTAATAATGACTGACTTATTTTGAAGCTGCTCATGGTATCAAAACAACGGATAGGGAACATTACATTGCATTAGAATATGACTTTTAGATGCATCATCTAGTGTCGGGCGACACAACGAAAATTTACCGATACTGAAATTTACGACAATAGAGGGAAAGACAGGTGAGGAGATGGAGGACGGTTCAAAAGTTGTAGCGGCTGAAGTAAAAGTTATTGTGGGAGGGGGTGAGCAGCTTGTGGAGTAGTTATCGTCCATTTATCGTTATCGAGGTGAACTGATCAATATATCGTGATATTGATTTGAGGCCATATCGCCCAGCCCTACAATAAAGCCATGTTCAGTTGCTTTTTACTTCTAGCTGTTCTATAAGTATGTTTTCTCATTTTAACTTTTTTTAAACAGTGAAATTGGGACTTAAATATTGTTTTCTTTATTTATAGATTATTTGACTCCAGGAGATTTTTTAATGTGTTTTTCGTGTGTCGGGTCATTTTATGATTTTACTGTGAAAATAATCTTCATTGATTAATTGATTTCTATCATTTATACTTTGAATGAATGAATAAAATTTATTTTGGTTATACATTACGTGATGATGATCAAGCGTAACAATTTGTGTGAATCTAAAACTACCAAAAACTAAATATTATATTTATTATCTCTGATTTCACACAATATTCGTTTGAATCGAATCTAAATCTTAGCAGGACAGAAATCCTGTTAAATGTTTTGAAATATTTGGATTCAACCTTTAAATAACTCCTGAAACACACGCAGTCAAACACACAGTGACATGACTTGCACATTTGGAAACATCACACACATTTCTCGCTTCAGTAACAAACCTGAATCCTCACTCAGAGGACAGCTATGAGGATACACGCTCTCTGTTTTCATGCACTAATTTCTACAGTATCGCTGCTGGCTGCCGGGGGGGCGTGACAGACATATTTGCACTTGTCTCCTGTCCAAGTGCACCCCTGTAATGAAACTGGCAGTGGCGCTGCATCGCTAGAGCTTAGCTCAGTCAACCATCTGTTAGCTTGCATGGATTCATGCGGAGAAAACGAGAGTGGACCTTGTATGGACATGTTCAAGCATGATTGTCATGACATCAATGTTCGCCATGAAACGGACAAAAAGCTCCATTCTTGTCTCTCTCTAATGGAAAAAGCATGCGAGCAGAGTGTGATTCACTGCCTTTCATGTCTAATCCAGGTCTGTGCTTTAAATAAATTAGATACAGGGACATGATACAGCATATATTATGTATGTATATCAGCATTCACATATGGAGTGAATTTTGGCACTGCTGAGGCTTTTCAGAAATATTAAACAGCTACTCAGCCTGGATATTTGCTCTCTGATCGTTTGCCACAGCATCACAGAGAGTGATAACACTGATGCCTCCGCTGATTAAACGGGGTCATGGCGTCGTGGACTTTCTCCAGTGTGTTATTTCAAAATGTGGAATAAATCCCTGCAGCTGAGGAGCATTCAGAGATGAAAGCGGGACCGAGAACAAAGTGATATTCTGCTGGCATGGATGTGGAAACGACATGTCGGCTTCTTCACCCTCCGTTTCCCAATTAATGGACGTCTTCTCTGACAGAGGATTGACATTTGATCCTGTGGTTAAGATAGTACTTTCCTGTGAGGACACATCAGGAATTTCTTCCTCCCCCCTGAAGGACAAAGCCCGTTTTGGCTGCGGTTTTTCTCACTAAGTGGCTGAGCCATAAGCCCAGAGGTGAATAGCTACGGCTCAGCCAGCTCAGAAACGTCTCTGCAGGAAGTGCTGAGCTGGACAGACTTGCACTGCTGCATGTAATGTTAAAAGCCCGGCCAGTGCCGTGTCCTTCAACCACAGCACACTGTCTCTCCACGCCTTTGTCCACTGAGTGATAAGAGGCTGGATCTTCACTCCCACATTAACTGGATTTAGCAGAGAGTGGTTCCCAGGAACATGTGTCTCGGGGAAGAATAGTAGGTTTTCCAGGAAAAGGCCAGGAAAGAAGAAGGACTGGGGTGTAGATGGGTTGCCATAGCAGTCTATATAAGGGAGGAAGAAGAAGAATAGCAGCATTTTCAGTGGGAGGACGGAAAGGGGAGGGGTTCAGAAGAGTGCAGCACCCCCATAAATAAAGCTAATGAAATGGCAGTTGAGTCTGGAGAGAGGTGGAATGGCTGGTTGGGTCTTACCCACTGTCTGATTTATCCTCAGTGTCCCTGTGAGCACAGCGGGGAGATCCATTACCTCACCTCATCAATAACATCCCATGGACAGGGAAAAAGGCCTGCTTTCCACACTGACTCCCACCCCAGGGACCGGCTCAGAAAGGCTCACTCAGTGGGGGAGAGGAAGCGGGTGTAATGTAGTCACACATATAGAAAGCAGAAATGTCTCAGATGGGGGATGGGTTTGCTTTAGGGGAGCGGTGCAGGGGGTAGCACGACATACAGTACCGAGGCGAACATGCTCGGCACATTGCAGCAGCTCGCGCTCACATGCATCCTGCTGCAGGCCGCAGGAATCGATGCATGCGCCGCTTCTGACACAGACACGATGACTTAATTCTAATTCTGTGGGCGGATGGAGTAAAGATCATGCACGCACTCTCTCCGAGGTAGCGATCATAAAGGAGAATATCAACACAGACGAGTAAATTGTTGATAAGGCTCCCCTAATTCTTAGAAAAGCCGTCGATAAAGTGTAGGAGAGGTAAAGGTGTACTCACTCTTCCTTCAAACAGAGCTGTGAATATAAATGATCCCGAGGGGCGGACTGAAAATATGAAGAAGGTGCAGGAAGTATTTTCTTTTCTGGAACACAGAGAGAAGAGGATTAAAACAAGGCGTTTGATGGAGATAATAAGGCCTTGGAAGTATTTCACACTAGAAATGAGGTGAAATGTCAACAGAGCTTATGGTCCACAGGGAGTTGATAACAGTACAGCGATAAGAATAGAGTGCAATAACAGATAGCGTGATTGAAGTAATCTCTGTCACACTCTCTCTCTCTCCCTCCCTCGCTCTCTTTCTTCCTCTCTGAGTGATCTTTCATGTGCTTTTTGCTGTGAGATCACAAGGTAGTGGCAGAGTCTGTGTCAAGGCTGAGTAAGACGCCTGGAGGGGAGGGCTTTTCAGCAGGCAGGAGGAAGCTCCGCACTTCAACACGCCACAGAAAGACACCAAATAAAACCCTTGTCACTCACTTCCCATCTGAAAATCGCTCTTTTTTTCTCTCTACTCGACTTGTATCCACATTTGCCCTTGGAGAAATACCTCTGTTTGGTCTGAGGAAGCTCAGTAATTCCAGCTTCATAGAGAGTGAAATGAAGTTGACTGATTCTCCTCAAAGCTAAGCCTTTACACCCCGGCTACGTCACTCACTTCTATCTTCTCAGAGTTTTGAGACAACACTGTGAGCCTCGGCGGGGTTATTCAGAGTTTAGTTCCCCGCTCACTACTCAGCCGTGACTTTGAACAAACAGACAACCTGATTAGGCAACGTCTGACGATGAAAGCAGGAAGAGTCTCCAGGCGTAAAAACCGGAGCTCTCCAGTGAATTGCAGCAGCCCAAGACTCAGACCCTGACAGGACAATGGAGGACTGAGCTATTTATAAGCTGTTCTGAGGCGGCACAGATTTAGTCGTTTCACTCCCAGCTGTAGGTGCATGTATGGTGTTGATGCTCCCTGCAGGCTTGTTCTTAATTTATTTATTTTTAATGCAGACTCTGCAAAGAAAGACAAAGACGCCCAAAAATGTGATACAAAGACTTTTCTTGTGCTTCTTTGAGGCAGCATGCACAACATTACAGTCTGCTTTTATTCTGAGCTCGTACAGTAAACTAGACAGTGGATAGTAGGGCTGGGCGAAGGGCCTCAAATCAATATCACAATATATTGATCATTAAATGGACGTTAAATGGACGATAACTACCTTGATGCTCACCTTCATCTACTTCAGCTGCTACAACTTTCTCTCCGTCCTCCATCTCCTCACCTGTCTTTCCCTCTTTGTTACAGACTGGATGGGGTGGAGTCACGTCTCTGACATAGGACAGCGTCTTAAAGGGACATGAGACCATAGCCTACCTACACACATCCAAAAACAACTTTTATTTATTTACTTTTTGACATTGAATATACCGATATAAGAAAAATGATGTCGGTTACTGTCGTAAATTTTGGTATCAGTAAATTTCTGGTTTATCGCCCAGCCCTAGTGGACAGTTCACACTAAATAATATGACACAATGTTACCAGCAATGTCAGGCAAAAATGTACTCTCCTCTTTTCTCTGGTTTTGGTCTCCACCAGTTTCTCACACACATATCATATTCTTGCACTGGCAAATGAAAAGCAACATGAACTAGTTTTTAGGTTACTCTGTCAATATGTCATTTATGCCGTTGCAAACTGTTTGTTGTTTTCCTTCAGTTGCTGGAGGGAGATCAGGT